ATATACGCAACGTACACTCAGATAAATCAAAACATTATGTGCATGTATGTGTGAATGCACAGCCATCCATCCACACGCACACAAAATACAAATTATGAGCCACCTTAGGCAAGATGCTACTTAACTGAGTCGAAAATACTGAATAAACTGGTACCTGTTCAGTAAGACTGAAATTAAATAAAAAGTGTAAAAAACAAAAAAAGCCTACAACATGTTCATTTCATCAGAGGAAAAGGTGGACACAGATCAAATACTGAAATATTCCAAGTTTGGGGACCAAAGGTAGAAATTAAGGGAAAGCAAGAGATTTCAGACTGCCCAATCTGTGCTCAATGCCACATGTGGTTAAGTTTCAATCTAGTTAAACACAGTATACCTAAATAGTCCCCAGGGAGGGGGCAAGCTCCCAGCATCGGGATGCTATGCTACCCCGAGCGGATGTCACTCACCAGGCTGGCGGTGAGGGAGGGCGCTGACTGCCCCAGGGTCTGGCTGCGCATGCGCACGAGGTTGGATGTCTCTGCAGAGGCTGACCACGCCTGCCCCGCCACTGGGTTTGGAAGGAGGTATCTCCCTGTTGGGGTTGAAGAGAAGACGGTGTCAGTGGCAGCTGGACATCAGTGGTTCTGCAACAACAGTGGGTCTTTTCCCAGTCTTTGGTCTCTATTAGTTCTACCATACTCGGTAATTACGTTGGTGAATGGCAAACATAAGATTATTTTTGGACTGTTTTTATTTCAAGCCAGGAGCTCCACTGGTGGGTTCTGACCTTGGAAACCCTTCTCATCTCCTGTAGGTGGAGCTTGCTTCATCAGGGGAGGATGAAGTGGGTGTTCCTATCTCCCTTGTCTCCTGGAACGTGTTGAAGACATATGTAAACAAACATGCTCAGCATTATAGAAATAAACACGGGCATTTATGAATGTACTGGGTGGGGGGAGAACACCTAATATGGTTGGAACATGTAAAAACAGTTTAAATACACAACTAATAAAAGAAAAAAAAACACTTTAAAATGCAAAGTGATCCAGGAATCAACCAAGAAAAAAACTATAAAGTGGAGATTGTGACCAACTAAAGGAAATGGGGGAATTCTCTCAAGGTGAAATAGGACTGGCACCCCTTTCCCCAGCCTCGCTCCCTGAATCGCATGTGGCGGCCAACCGTGTCCAAGGCATACATAATGGCCCCCATTTGCATAAATCAGGACATCAATGTCAGTCTAGGTTCACTGAGCAATTTCCATCAACCTTGAACTCTAATATATATGCGTATGCTCTTAAAAGTCAAACAGCTGAATCAATTCATACTGTGATTTCCTTGGTACAGGCACTCAGCTAGTATCAACATACAAGAAATGAGTTTTCTGATAAGCGGGAAAGTTAGGATGGCCATGAATATTCACATAATAATGACAATCAGTAACAAGAGACCAGATCTGATTTTTATCTGCTTTGCTACAATACCACTGGCACACTGATTAAATGAGGTGAGGCTGAGTAGGCATTTCCTGCCCAGGAAACAGGGAGAATAAGAAAATAGACATTGAGGGCCGAGTGTATGGGAACTCCAGCTCTGTTCCTCTATAGAATCATGGGGGACTGCAGCATGGATAGCTGAAGGCACAGCAGCTGAGGTAACCTGTTTGTCCTTCCTGCAAGTGCACCTTAAACATACACATCCTACTGATTAATAACCATTGCATCTACTAGTTTACTGTCACTGAACATACTAACTACCAGCACTACCAAAGCAGAGGAAGAAGGCATATCCTATACACTGTCCAGGTGTGAGATCTAATGCTTTATTTAATCCAAGGACTTTCTGGAAATTAATGAGAAAAATGGCTTCTTAGTTTGTGAAAAATTATCTTTCATTCTCTTATTATACAGAAAAGAACAGACTGGAGAAAAACCTTGAGATCTTGCCCAGTGGCTGAAAAACACTGAGGGAAAGGTCAGCCTCTTTTGGACTCAATATTTTCTATCTCTAAAATGGATATAAGAATCTTCTTTGTAGCCAGGGATTTAGTTCAGTGGCATAAGCACCTGCCTGGAAGAGTAAGGCTGTGAGTTTGATCCCAGGTTAAAAAAAAAAAATCTTCTTTGTAGAGTTGTTGAGAAAAGTTTGTGAGTAAAGTACTCAATCTGTTAGCTATCTAACCATAACTGTAGAAAAAGTGAAATGTGTGTGTGTGTGTGTGTGTGTGTGTGTGTGTGTTTTAGAGGGAGTATGGCTTATTTTCATTCGAAAGTAGAAAATCCATATATACTTATATATATATATGACCTATGATCATGGTAGAGAAAATTATTCTGAACATTTTTGTAATCTTTCAGATTTTCTTTGTACAGCTTACAATTTCTTGAGACAATGTGATTGCATTGATTTGCATCATCTGTTACCCACCAACCCCACATAACAGATTATGAATGACCTTTTCCATGCAGATAAACACAGCAACTGTCAATTAACTGGAACTTGGACACTGTCATCAAAGTCTCAAATATAATTAATTACCCTCAGTGGTTCCAATCACTGCCTCAGAAACATCCAGGCATACTCTTATGGAGGGGATATTACATTTAAAGTCCAGAATTTTTTTTTCCTTGCCTTATTTTGAAATGTGAATTAAAAGCTGAATTGAGAGGATCTGGAGAAACTTGCTCATTTTAGACAGGACATAATGAAGAGCAAGAAAACTACAGACTGCATTTAGGAAAGTAGCATTAACATGATGTGAATAAGTAGGTATTTTGACAGAACTCACTATTTGCAAGACATTACATGTTTAAAATATAGCAATCTCATCAGTATCTGAATATACAGGTTTTTGGAAAGTCTTTCCTGGGTCTTTTCCTATATCATATATTCTTTTGTTCATGTTTGAGAGGGAAAATGAGCAGCACAGAAGCTGTAAGATGTCAGGGTTTGTGACGCAGAGCATTCCCTATGGCCCGCCATTCTGCCCCAGGGGCTCCATTTCAAAGAAAGCAGGGGTAGAGAGAAAAACATCTGAGGAGTAAAATAATCATGAAAAGTTTTAAAGGCAAACATTTTAATTCACTGAAAAATTCTACAGGTTAGTATTCTTTTCTTTAAAGAAAAAATCATTAGATTGTTTTCATAATACATAATACCTGTTTCTTCATGTGAAGAGAAACAGGTTTGTTTATTTCTGTATCCCAAGTTCCTAGCAGAGTAGGAACCTGTCAGCTAGTGCCCGAACCTTAGTAAGTATTCAACGAATGTTAACTAAAATGCAGCTAAACTGTACTATTTGAACAATACTTGATCAATTCTACACAGAAAGAATAAGTGAACAGATTATTTTTCTAATTTTTATTTGTAAGTATAGTATAACAGCTAAAATCTGTTGAGGTCTTTGTATATGGCAGGCACTACAGTGCTCTCCCAGCCCCATGGGGTAGATATCAACTCCACTTTATAGCAAGAGAGGTTCCATGATGAGCCAAGGGCTCTTAGCTGAGTGCGCTGGCAAGGTTAAGAGTCTGATTCCAAGGCTAAATTGTATCACGGAAAAATAGCCACCACATATTCTTCAGTGAAAAGTGAATCATAAACTAAGATAGGATTGTTATGTATTTATAAATATGTATTATACTTGGAGAACAAAACATCTAAAAAGATGCAAATAGAATGAAGAATGAATCAAACCATAGTCTTGAACTCAGACAAACATCTAAACCCTCATTGTTACTAGTTGTAATAGTCAAGTTGCTGCATACTTTAATTTCTAAGCCTCAGTCTTCTCATCCCTAAAATGGAAATAATAGTATAATGAAGCAGATAAGATTAAAGAAAGTACTGTACTTCAATTACTCAATCTAGCACATGGCAAGCAGTCAACATATGATCACCATCCATAGCATAAGAGCTGCGTTCTTCACCATTTCTGTTAGCAAAAACAAAGTATAGTAGATAGGTTTCTAGACAAGGTCTCAGAAGAAATAAGGAATAACATTAAATAATATTAAAATAAATAGCATTTCACGTAAGTAGAAAATAATATTAGAAATATAATCTCTGACAGAACAAAGAGAATGGGAACAAACAGAAATATGATGACCCTTGAAGTTTTTAATTGATTAATCAATTAATCTTTTAATTTTGTGGTGCTAGGGCTTCACACGTCTAGGTAAGCACTATACCAATAAGCTATATCTCCAATCCTATAACATTATTTGTTAATATAAAATTATCTTTAAGGAATATAAGGTCTAGTTCAACTTAAAAGGTTTTTTTTTTTTTTTTTTTTTTTTTTTTTTTTTTTTTTTACCAGTACCAGGGATGGAACTCACAACCGTCTGCTTGCAAGGCAGGTGCTTATGCCTCTGAGCTAAATCCCCAGCCCCAAAGTTTTTTTTTGAAGAGTTGAGTTTTTGATTTGTTGCTTCAAGGGAATACTATATTTTTTAAAATGTACCTGAAAAAATATATATATTAAGCTTTGATAAAACTAGCTGTAGGTATGTGATTTTTTATTTAACTATTCTCTATTAATTTCTGTGTATTTTTAAATTTTATTTTACATAAAACAATGGTAATGATATTGGATTTCAAAAACAAGACAGTAGAGAATTAACCATAGTTATTGTAATACACATTGTTAGCCTCTAAATAGATGCTCAGACCACTAGACACAGGCATGCAAAGTCAATCAAACCGCACATTAAGCAATATAAGCACAAAGTTGTCTCTTTACTTCAGTTGGTATCACTTCAGATATTTCAAGTGTGTGACTTCTAATTTCTTTTTTGTCTGTATCTCCTGGACTTCTCCGTGGTCTGGAGGGCTGAGATTGCACGGTGCTCCTTCATCTTGACATTTTCCTGTGCTCTTCTGATTAGCTGGTTGCTAAGCCCCAGGTGCTTCCTGCACTGACTGCCCATCCCACAGTGCAGGGGATTGGCTGGGCATCTGGGTTCCTTCCACTGGAGGTTCCTGGAATGGTGGAGAGGTGCAAGGCCGCTGCTCATCAGTGTTTCTCTCAATGTGGCAGAATCCCATTTCTAAAGTTCTGAAATGGCTAACAGACCATAGAAAGATACTACTTTAGGCTCCTGCTTGAAAACAATAGCTTCAGAAAACTGCCAGCCTTGTTTTGGGGCCATTTGTGCATAATTTTTATATTGCTTTTAATGATTCTAATAAAACGTGGGTTCTGTATTCTCACGTAGCAAACTGGCCAGGTGTACATTCCTTCCACATCTCAAAATGGTAGCTCCTGAGGTCCCACTGGTAATGAAGAATCTATGGGTCTGAGGTGGGAAAGCAAGGAACCAGGGAAGAAGTCACTGGAGGACAGGAACACAGAAGAACCACAAAGACCCTCCTCTTCGTCAGCAAGAGCTCAAGCATAATGCCCAGCACAGGCATTCATCTACTGGGGTCCTGAACTTCCAAGACCAGGCATGGCTCAGGTGAGATGGACTCTGGGCACAATCTAGAGCCAGCACAGGGAGCACAAAGCAGGGAACCAAAGCGAGGTCCTTTCCCTCATACATTCTATCACACACTCTAAATGGTCCACCTTGTTAAATCTGACAGAACCCTTTATAATAAGTAAAGCCACTGGTATGTCTTCTTAACCTCCCTGAAATCACTTTAACACTACCATGTGCCCTTTATTAATTGCTGCTATTCCATGTGTAAGTTGATCTTGTTAACAAGACCAAAGGGATACTTTCAATTTCTTTATTACCTTACCAGAGCCTAATTCAAAAGAATTATTCATTAGACAATAACTCGTTGCCTCAGCCTGTATACTGGGCTTATACTCTCTTCAAATCCCAGAAGACAGAAAGGACCTCTAGTACTGTGAAAATTAATTGCTCTAGTTGTGAGTTTGGAGTTCTGGACTCCAGAAAATCAACCCTCAACTATGCCATGAACTTCTTCAAGCCTCAGCTGCCTTAGATGGAAAACAGGACCAAACAAACACGGTTTGTTGTAAAATCTAAAATAGAAACTATACTATAGAATTAGCCCTCAATTAAGTACGCTTTTAAAAACACATGAAACACAAAGTGCTACACATCACAAATCAGAAAGCAAGCAAGAAATAAAATTTTGTAAAGTCACTGGAAAAAAATAAATTAGCAAGCATTCATACTCATGTAAAATGAAACGTTATAATCCTATGATGGGTCAGCTTTTAAATTTTTGCATAGGTCTTGTCCCAAGGAAATCTAGTGAAAGTTACAAACTGGAAGGTCTGCTAACACAACACATGGGATATTTTATTCCTGCCTAGACCCCCATTAGTGTTAATAGGGAAAAGAGGACAACAGATGGATTTAAGACAGTCATTAGAAGGCACTAATATAGGGCGATAGTTGGTACTGATTACATCAAACTTTATATAAATTCACTTTCTGATGACTACCAAGAGCCCCTAAAAAGTGTGTTGCTGTTATGTTCATGCATCATTTGCTGCCTACAATTTAAGAAAATTAGCATCTGTCAACGGCATTATTCAGCTGCACAGGGTGGAAATTAATGGATAATACCATTTCCAATTTGTTGTATGAGAGGTGAGCTTGCCTAGCAATCTGGTTGCTCTATTTTAATACCAAATTGAGCTTGTTGTTACAACTGTAACTTCAATCAGCATTGTGCTCTTTGGAAACATGATTCTAAAATCCCACAATGCTCATTAACATTTATTAAATATTTTCTACTGACATAACTAGAAATTTACAGGCAATAAATAGAGATCTGTTCAGAAGCTGGAATTAATGGATTGGACCGATACAAGAAACTGTCAGGTTCCAAACATAGAAGTATGAGATGATAGGGCCTTTTACCCTGGTGTTGTGACTATTTTGGGCCTCAGGGACACTACAGAGTGAGAATGACAAGTCCTACAGATCTGTATGCTTATAAATTGAAGGAAATAGACTAGTAAGTATAGACACACAAATTGTCTGTTGGTTCTGTATATGCTCCATATGATCTTTCTTGGAATGTGTTTTCCTTTGTTTCTATCATGAATTCCAGTAAACTAGGAGCAGGTACTTTTTAAAATACTGGCTTTGCTTTCAGTTGTGAGATATGTGTGTTTAAAACACCTTAAGGTTAGAACTAATCCTTGAAAACAGGAAAATACCAAGCCAGTAGTAACTTCAGCAGAGTGGCCACTGCAGGTCTGCCTTACTACTGGGGAATAATGGTACCTGACCAGATTTAAATTTCCATTAGAAAACATTCTGTGTCACCTGAAGTGCAGCATAGATTTAGTAATTATTTTTCAGCCTTATATTTGAGGTTATTTCTCTAGGACTATAAGCAAGACATTAAAGGAAAATTAAACTGGATAACCATATATGAAAACCCTGTTTTGCTATGGCTTTTTGTAATCAATTACATATAAGAGCCCTAAATAAGTTTGTTTATCCTTTAAGATTCCAGCTAGGATCAGAAGGAAGCTAAGGTTGCCAATATATGCCTCTTAAGGGTTTGGCGGAGTTAAGAGAACCATAGAAGGGGCTTAGGGAGGCTAGATATAGTATTACAGAGACTGAGGAGCTAGAAACAAAGAGAACTAATGGGGAGCTGACACGTTACTGATGCCATGAATGTCCAAGTGGGGCCACATACCGTGTTGGGAGACCTTGCTCTTCCAGCCTATGTCTTCATGGATATCTAAGTTCATAGGTTTGTGCTATTAGTCTGCTGTCCACCTTATCATCTACTCAAACTCTCAGAGAAGCTCCTAGAAAGGTGGTAGCCAGCACCATTTCACCTTACATACTTACTAGTAAATGCACCCTTGCTTACTCTCACTTCTGGGTCTACAGACAGAAAACTGAAAGCAGGACCTCAAACACACCATGTGTATGTTCTTCGCAGAACCGTTAGCAATAGGTTGATTATGAGGATTGAATTTTTTTTAGAATACTCCACACTTTAGAAATGAAGGGGAAAGATCATGATAAGTCATTGGCTGGACATGGAAGGTGGGCAGAATTCATGACTCAGCAGCCAGTGCCCCAAAGCGTACGCCATCAGCACCTAGAGATCTTTCTTCCATGCCCCATTGCCTGCTCCTAAACATGTGTTCCCTTGTCGTCATGACTCTGTCTTCACAGGCAATTACTGCCTCCTTTTATTCCTCTTCAGCAGTGCTACTCCAGCAGAGGGACATGGTTCCCTTCATTCCCACTCACACGGGTGACTGCCTTCCAATTTCTTGTCCCCAGTGCAGAAGAATTACCGTCCCCACATAGCATCAACAATGCTATTCAATCATTCTTTTTAATGGCATAAATAAATATAATCTGAGAAACCAGCAGACCTGTGACCAGAAAGGGCTGAAGTTCACTGGCTCCTATATTGAGCAAGTGTTCTAGCCTTTTTAAAAAGTGCAGTGTGATTACAAAAGAGTCCAAAGCAGAGCCTTGACTATGAGTGCTGACCATGCTGCCTACTAGCCAGTGATCTCTAAGTGACAAAGGAACTGGAAACTGAGTAAGAAAGCACTCACGTTGGAGGAGGTTGATATCAGAGCAGGGTGATGCCCAAGGGACCTCAAGGTCGTCATTGAATTAATTTCCTACTTTGCTAAGGACTCACACCTACTAGAGATGCCTCATATCACATTTTAAAATATTACCACCAACATTATATGTTTAACACAGAGTTGCAAGGAGGCATTCCTAACCACAAAGCCTGCTGACAAAGTTAGAAGAATGGTCTAAGAGGAGCTTGTAGCAAGGGAACCAGGCATCAGAAATGAACAGCTCCTTTGTGGCAAGCCCAGTTAGATTGGAATATGAGAAGTGTCTTTAAAAGCCACTAAAGCCCAAGTCCATGCCTTAAGAGATCTAGGAACTGTTGACAAATATCAGAACACACATGTCTAGAGCACAGAATTCAAGGCCTTTGGACAAAATACGAGGAATCTCAAGCTGCCTTGCTACTGTCAATCAGAACTGCAGTTTTAAATCAACAAATAACTTTTAGTGTCGCCTTTTAGCAAGGTGAATCAAAACTAGTGGTTTATTTTTTACCCTCAGCCTTGACAGCCATCCTGTTACTCTTGCCATTTTATGATAAAAGGGCGAAAATATCAACACAGGTTATATTTTTAAAAGGAAACAATTCGAAGTCATACAAAGAAATATATTTGGCTTTTCCTTTTTTTGCTTTCCCATCTGTTTTTGTTTTGTTTTGTTTTGTTTTGGACTCTTTGAAATATGATCTCACTATGCAGTTCAGGCTGGCCTTGCACTCACTTTGTAGCTCAGGCTGCTCTCAAACTTGCAATGATCTTCCTGCCTCAGCCTCCCAAGAGCTGGGATTACAGGCATGTGCCACCACACGCAGCTCTCCCACTTGTTCATAAAGCACCATTTCTGTTCACCCACCTAGATTATTTCTCAGTCAGGTTGTAATATGGGCAGAAATTAGGATCAGATGAGTTAATGGATATGACAGAATTTGATCAGCTCTAGTGTTACTGTTATTACAACTCTAGCACTGCGTTCTGGTCACCAACATGCAGCCAATTCCCCCATTCTGCAGGGACATCCAGCCCCGGTCCCACCCTCCCCGCTGCACCTAGACCACCAAGGCAGTCTCCCTTCGGGTGGTGCTTGTCTGAATTTAAAATTCTTATTTAAAAAATAAATAATGGCTTGATCCTAAGCTCCAACTGCACAGACCAAAGGTGAATGTGACAACTTAAAATTGATTTTTAAAGAAGTATAACAGAGTCTACTCTAACGAGAGAACATGGTAACAGGAATCTGTAACAGGAACAGGGTTGCCTGGAATGAGTGTCTGCCATAAGGAGGGCACCTGAGGAGCTGGGGGGTGGTGGCAGCGTCTAAACGATGCCAGGCAGAGGTCAGAGTTAACATCTGCAGTATGGCCTCCCTCCATTCGTGTATTGAAATATAATTCAGTAGAATGAATTGCTAGACATGGCTAAGCCCCCTGGGAAATGACAGATATTGATGAATGCTGCTGGCAAGATATATGGAAGGAAAAGGCAAATAAATAGAACCATTTTTTCTCAGAGTCATTTTGTGGCTATGTGGAGCAGCTGTTAAAGTACTTGACAGCCACCCACCTTCTTCCTCTTCCTCCTCCCTCTCTATATCTGCTT